CTCTCTCTCTCTCTCTCTCTCTCTCTCTCTCTCTCTCTCTCTCTCTCTCTCTCTCTCTCTCTCTCTCTCTCTCTCTCTCTCTCTCTCTCTCTCTCTCTCTCTCTCTCTCTCTCTCTCTCTCTCTCTCTCTCTCTCTCTCTCTCTCTCTCTTCCCCCCCCCTATCATTTCTTTCTTTCGCGCTTCAAACCGTCCGTATTCTTCTGTCCTGCTGCCTCGACTTAGCAACCCGATTTATTCCCGCAGAATTGCATCCGGTTGTCTTTCTCTCGATCGCCCGATATCACCGGTACTATCATTACGTTATCACGCGACGCGAATTTTTCCTCGACGACACGAGATCAATGCGCGACGTTGGGCTGTCCCTTAATAAATTACATAGCGTGTAACTGGTGTTACGGAATTATTAATGATTTTATTCTCCCATATACGTGTTTCTTTCTCTCTCGTTGCGAGCGTAACGATGTCGTATCGGTTATCTTGGACGATGTCGCGCCACCGACACGCGGCTCCCAATGAATTTTTCTTTTCACTTCGATCCCGGGTATGAGAGAAAGAGAGGGAGAGCGGAGTACCCGGGGCTCTCTTAATCAATCACGCGTGCCGATAATAAAATCGTTATGGAATTATTAATGATTCCATTTCGCCCGCATCGCGGCGCCGTAATGTCATTATCGGGCGATGTCGTGAGCAAAATTCTTTTGCGTTTAGAAACAATGGCGGTGTCGCGTGATAAATCGCGCGCGCGCGAGAGAGAGAGAGACGATGATGGTGATATTACTCGTGATCGTTGATCGAATCGTATTGTTTAATACTCTGTCGGCCGACAGTACGCGTAAATTGCAAAATTCTATTAACATCGTTAGCAAAACAAACGCGTAGGAGCGAGGATTGTACGCTTTTTATAACCAGTCACAATTAATCACGAGTAGCAACGGAAGGCAACGTTTCGCTTTGTTTTGAGGACAATCCACGCGCGAGCATATTTTACAAGCGCAATTTGCATGTTTTAAGTTGCTACCGAATTTTGTGACACTTCGACAATAGAATGATAATTTTATTAATCTCTTAACATCACAACGTCGTTCTCGGAAGTAACATATACATTATTACAGAATCGTATGAATGCCATTCAATATGAATCTTCTTTCAAAAGTTAAATGCTTTTTCATTGTTTAATATCCATGCGATGTATCGTAGGTGGATGTCGATTAGCGTCCCCTTATTAATTAAAAGACAACTTAATTGAGGATCTTATCGGGTAGGCGAGGTGTTTACATGTAAATCGAGGCAGCAATCGCGAACGAGAGATAACGCCGTGATCACCGCGAAACGCAAATAAATCCCCCCCCCCTCCCCCTCACCCTCCGCGTATGATGATATCGGAGTAGTAGCTGCGCGCGACAACTTCGATCACATTCGACATGTTAATGAGTTCGATAATAAAGGGGAGCCGTGTCTCACGAGATCCATAATAA